GTCCGGGTTGGGTCCAAGACCCGCGGGTCCTCCACAACAAGACCCGATAGGGTAATTTGCTCGGGTCGGTTCCTACCCGGACCCGGTTTTTTCGGGTCGGTTTCGGGTCGGGTCTTCGGGTCCGGGTAAAATGCCCAGGCCTACTTCAAGCCTTCCTGAAATACTCCTTGGCTTTAACAAAAGAGAATATGACCGTTGGTCTTGAGAAAATATCTTCAAAATCTCATTCAAGGCATTTTTTGTAAATGATGTCCAATGAGGAAGAATGATGGAGAAAAAGATTCGTCTGATCTCATGGGTGATGGTGCATCTGAGGACGTTATGGATACCTTCTAAATGGTCTAGCCTCAGTATCTCCTGGCTTCCATATAAAAGTATGGGTCGGACCAAAACAAATTGGTGTAAAACTCTCTTCGATTGATGTCGGTTTGGCCAATTGATGCAAACCGGTTTCATTTTCTGGTCTGATTGGGATCCGCCTGATCATGTGTACTCTAGTGATTCTTAGGATATTTTGGAGTGCCTCTGAATGAATTATAAAGGTCTCCTGGTCGTCTTTCTTGATATTGGATTGAAACAAAACCCAGATCTTCCAAATAAGGCAAATGTAGAGCTGGTTTGGCAGATTTAGGGAAATTGATCATAACATCTGGTTTATTTGACCATTTCACGTGATCTTGGGCTTTCTGTAAAGCTGAAAAACTCCTCTTGACTTATATGATCGATTTTGGCTCGGAAAATTCCTTCTTTAGGCTTGAAACTTCTTCTAAAGTCGGATGATGCTCGCAGACGAATGGGCTGGTTAACCTCATTTTATAAATTTGGGGGTTTTCAGATACATTAGCTAATAGTTTGTGTAGCTAGGAAACTTTTTTTCCAATTATTAATTGCACTTTGCCTTGATTTGCTATTATTAATAACTTTCATTTGTTTCCTTGGTTTCTTTGACTTGTACTAATTCTTTTTATTCTGTTTTGATTTATAGATTTTGATTTTTATCTGAAACAGTTTTTAAATTTATTATTTTCTACAACCGACATTATCAATTGCTAATAATAATAAAAATGATTGATATTAAAATAGTAAACTATACATTTACTTTGTATTAATATTTCAGAGTTGATTTCTTTATGATATAGTGACATGTATGATACTGTAAAACATATGTAAAATTAAATACTATATTATATATATATATATGACTGGTTTTGTGTAGAATTTTATTATTTTGACTAATAAAATTTGATTTTTTTATAAAAAAAAATAATTTGTAAAACTTGCTACAAGTTGTAACAATTACTGTTTATTATATTATATTATACTTTGAATTTATAATGAATTATATTTTATCAACAGTTTTTGTGTATATTATATACTATAACAGGTTTAATATAAATTTTTATTATTACTAAATATATTTATCGTATGAACCGGTCAAATAATTTGTCTGGATCTGCCAGTTTATTATAAAATTAATTCGACAAAACTAATAAATCATATTAAATAATAAAACTGTGTACCCTTCATCATCAACATAAATTTAGTAACTGTCCGGATATGAAAATTTGATTATTAGGTCAAACCGTTATCCACTTAATTAATTAAGCGTGGTAGAAACATTACCAAAACCATTTCTTTTGAAACTAAAAGATAATATGCAAGAAATTTTAACGATTTTATATAGACAAATCTATATTATGCAAGATAATATTTTTTTCAGAAATTAAGAAAAAATATTTTTTAACAATATAAAACATATTTTCTTAAATTTATTTTCTAAACAACATAATAATCTATATCTCAAGAGAAATGAAATTATAATCATGATCATGCTTAGTCGTTATAAATGTGATTTTAGCCAATATAAGATATAATTAATAAGAAATCATTAGGATTAAAATATTTTTAATATGGATTTTCATGTTTCCAAATATATTCATTTTTAATACTGCTATATATATTTCAGTTTTAATATATATAGATTAACACATAAGGAAAAAGATGTATACTCATTTTTATTTTTGGGACATGTCCTTTTAATCCTTTGATTTCTATGGGCTGAATATAATCTTATCTATGTTAAAAATACATATAGTTGACTCAATGGATCCGTTGCTCTATTATTGTCTTAATTATTTAAGATAAAGCGACCATGCGCGGGTAAATCTAGATAGTTATAAAAAAATCTGGATTGTTATAGACTATGATAATATCACCATTGCTTTTATCCTAGATATTTAAATGTAATTAAGAGTAGTATTCAAATTAACGTCTGTAATTAAATAATGCAAACAACACAAACCCAATGAAAAATCATGTTTGGTTGGCGGGCACTATAAAGTGGGCATTTTTACATGTCCACACATACTACAAACTAGTATCAACTTAAATAATGTTACAAACGACCTTTAATTGGAGCAGGTTACGTATAGGACCAACTTTTTTAAATAGTTAATTATATCCAGCTTGAAACTTCTTGTTGAAAATTATGAACTATTTGCTTTCAAAAAAGAAATTTATGAACAATTCTCCACTCGAAGTGCAAATAATTCTCATACTAGGATTTTTTTGTTTAAAAAAAAGTTGTTTAAAAGAATTTTAATTCGTGTAAAAACTCTCATTTTTTGCTTAATTAATACGAGTATTACAAGGAATGTTTTTGGAAGAACATTGCTAAATTCATGCACGGATACAAAAGTCAAAAAAGTTGAGATCTGTAATATTGTAGTAGTGTCCGCAAATTGTGATGCTTTGGTATTTGATAATCCTTACACTATGGATTTGTTTACTTTTATCACCGTTACAATTTTACTGAAACATATACGTTTATATTATTGAAATATATACTATTATCACCGTTACATCTATAACATTATTTGAGAAGTAAATTTGCTTAGTTGTCAATTTCTCCATGATTTTAGGTTGTTTTACTTATTTTCATGTTTTAATAATTTAGTATATAATAAAAACGAATTTATGTTAATAATATTATACTTTTAGAAAATATGTTAATTATTTTGTAACATTATTTGAGAAGTAAATTTGCTTAGTCGTCAACTTCTCCATGATTTTAGGTTATTTTACTTATTTTCATGTTTTAATAATTTAGTATATAATAAAAACGAATTTATGTTAATAATATTATATTTTTAGAAAATATGTTAATTATTTTGTATTATATTGTTATCTTAAAAAATATATTATTCAATTATTATTTTAGAAGTAAAACTTTGCTTAGTTATCAACTTCTCCATGATTTTAGGTTATTTTGCTTATTTTTATATTTTAATAATTTATTATAAAATAAAATAAAAATAATTTATGTTAATAATATTATTTTTTTTGAAAATATGTTAATTCTTTTGTATTAGATTGTTATCTTAAAAATATATTTTTTAATTATAAAATTTAAGTGAGTTTGCTGATTAATTTGTAACTTTCTGTGATTTAGATAATCTATACTATTATTTGTGAATGATTTTTTGCAAGAAAGCTCTCACGTTGAAAGTTAGAACGGTTAATATCGTTTATACCCTTAATGAATAATTAAAAAAATTAATTTAATTAAACATAAATAAAAAACGAATTTCAATGATTTTATATTTATCTTTATCTAAAACTATTTTATATTGGGTTATAAAGTTTTTATTAACCTTGAAAAATAATTATATTAGTTAATATGCTTGAAAAATAATTATATTAGTTAATATATAATTAATTATAAATTAAAATCGAATTTCATTTATTTGATAATTATCTTTATTTTTTATATTATGTGATAAACTCTTTATCAACCTTGAAAAATAATTATATTTGTTAACATATAATTAATTCTAAATTTAAAAATGAATCTCATGAATTTGATAATTATCTTTATCTAACTTTTTATATTGTGTTATAAAGTCTTTATTAACATTGAAAAAATAATTCTATTTGTTAATATATAGTTAATTATGAAAAATCAATTTGCAAAGAATTTATGTATAGATAATTTATATTGTGTTATCCAAAACATTATTAAACATAATTTTTTATACTTTTTTTTATGTCTAAAAACGATATTAATTTATTACTAAATGTTTCAAGTTTATGAGTATTTTCAAATATAAGTTGTTTAATGAAAATTATTTATATGATGATGAAAATTTTATAAATAAAAAGAATTCGTTTAGTTTATTATTAAATATTTTGAGTCTATGAACAATAATTTATTATAATTTACATAACTTGATTATATATTTATTTATAGATATTAGTAAAATTATTAAGCCCGCAAGTGCGGACAAAACATCTAGTTTTATAGTATTACTGAAATATATACGTTTAGGGCTGCAAATGGTATACCTACTGGATTGTGACTAATTAAACAGCACACAAATTACTGGAGAACGCAACGATCGATCACACATCATTCTGAATGAGTCTACTACTAGTAGTTTAACATCATGTCTGGATTTTGTAAATTCCTTAGTTGCTTAATCTGTTTTTTCGACTATATTTCCATGTAAAAGAAAAATCGTCAATAATTGTGAATTATATAATCTAAAATGCTGGCATTTTTGCGAAAAGTAATTTTTGTCACATGCATTGAGTTCTGGTTATAGCGTCATATAGTTTTTAACTAGTTAATTTTGATGAATATCCAGGTTTCAAATACGGATATGAGGATCGAACATTCCATTGTTTTACCATATTTTGCTGGAGTCAGATTCCAGTATAACGGTTTAGAACAGATGTCAAATACAACGAAATTTCAATTATATTTCTTCTCATTGTCCCATACATCTGTTCTACCTCATTGATATCCATCTAATCATATACATTTCGCTAGCTTGTAGAAAAAAGCAGCTACTGAATTGTTAATAGCATTCGCAATGACAACAGCGAACATTAGCACAATCATTTTTATTATAGTTTAATACATTTTCAACTATACTCATCACTCGTTGCTGCTGTTATCCATCTCATCAATCACCAGCACACAATATTGTTCGTGACTACAAATATGTAATAAATTGTTACTATAACACTGAAAATATTCGATGGTAAATATATAAAAGAAAATTATTGGTAGTCACTCAACCAAAGATGAACCTACCAAACTTTATGTTTACACCACTTAAATATAGATCAAACTAAGATTAAAAATAAAGATGAAGGAATTACACAAATACTTTTACAGCTAGAAGAAATGATGAATACAGATCTCACTGATTACACACAAAGCCCTCGATCGTATTCACTATTCTTCTACCCTCGTATGATACCCCTTAGCCGTCCTCATGAACAAAGATCTTTTGATACAGTACAATAATTACCCTCACACCGAATATAAAGAAAATCTGTAAACTAAGTTCTGACAACTTTAACTAAAAGTACCCCATGTGAGAAAGAACAAAAGATCATCAAACTAAAATAAAAATAAATAAAGAGAAAAGAAAAGAGAAGCCAATATATAAGTTCATGATTTATTTTTAACCTTTTCTTTTCACCATGAAGATCCTCCTGTATTACTGAACATCCCATTCCAATACGTACTATTACCATGGCTCTTCTCTTGGGTTGTGCTCGATAGCTCTTTCATGTCTGAAAATGGGAACAAAACCTTACTTGCTCCATTCATGTCATCGAAATGATTATTATCTTCAGCTCTTTGATTGCTTTTAATAGTGTTATATCCAATCCCTTGATGATGATCAACGGAGAATGAAAGGTTATTGTTACTCTGTTTGTAATCAGCCATTGTTGGAAACCCTAAGGATGAGTAAAGAACTGAGTTTGAATCCATCATTTGACCTGGCAAGAACATGTTCATTCCTCTTGAAGAGACTCCATTGGATCTTAGAAACTCGAGAGCTGAGACAGGAGATGATGAAGCGTAGATTGAGGATGATGCATTGCTGTTCACGATCTTGGGCATATGAAGGAACTGAGACATACCATGTTGATGTTCTTGCATGACAGGGAAAGACAAAGGTGAAGCTAGACGTGTTGAGGATCTCTTGTTCTTTCTTGAGCTGCCTCCGACAGGGACGTTACGAAGAGTGCCACCTTCGGTCCAATACCTTCGACAACCTTTGCAGAAGTATCTTGGTTGTGTGAGACTGTAGTTGTTGTAATAACAGAACTTCGTATTTGTTGAGTTACATCTTGGACAGTTTACTTTCTCGTTTGGTCTGGACTTTCTACTTTCCATCGTAGTATTGTTGTTGTTTCCGCCGGAGCCGCCGTTGGATGCGGAGGCGTTTGGCCTTGTTTTGGTGGCGATGAATGTTGGTTGTTGTTGCGATGTGTTGTTGTTGGTGTTTGAGATCATTTGATCCATTGGTTTTGCGTTTATCATTTCTTGAAAACCCTATAACAATTGAGATAAGAGCTAATGAATCACAAGCCATGTCAAATAGAATAATAAAATTGGCAAAACCGAGTCTCGAAGCTCGCCAAGATTAGGGTTTGTGATGAGCTGAAATTTTAGTAATAATTAATCCCAACTGAAAGAAAAAAACCTAGGGTTTTATGGTTAGATCGTCGGTGCTTTAAAGCAATTTAATTCGCTAAAGGAAACTAACATAGAGAGGGAAAATAATTTGGTACGACCTGAGCACAAAGCACAAAAGATAAAATAAAACAAGTCATACCTTTTTATCCATTTATTTATCAAAATCTATAATTAATCACATAAAAAGGTGAACTTGTAGAGAACAAAGTTTCTTTAACTCCATTCGACAATTTCGAAAGTTTCAAAACGGATAATCTCCCATGTAAATGTTCATATATAAAAATAGCCAAATAAGAAAACCATATATATAGACATTATCTCTATGAGACTGGACAGCATAACCACAAAAAAAGCATCATAAGAAAATTTGTTCCATACAAAGATACATGTACAAGTTAAGCCTTATAGTTCAAAAAAAAAAAAAGATACATGTACAAGTGTATATATAAGTATAGGTATAGAAAAAGAGAGGGAACGAGTTAAAGAAGAAGAAACAAATAGATATAGCAATGCGAGATCTTTTTGACGTACCTGCGTCCACTTAGTAGCGTCCATGAACTTTGACAAAGAGAAAGGCAGAGAGAGAGAGCAAACAGAGAATGTTTTGGAGATTGTTTCTTGGACGATATGGCTCTATGCGTTAGCTTTCACTTTATAAATGAAGAAATAAAGGAGCAAAAAGGAAGAAGAAGAGAAGAAACCTGCAAAAGTAAAATTTAATATCAAAAAGCAAAGTACAGTTTGTTGTTTCTCACTAGTGATAATAATAATGTCTCATGGCCTCCGTCTGTAGTTCTTTTCTGATCCCTCTTATGTATTTTAAAAAGGAAAAACCGACTAAATATTTATCTATTTATTTTAATTGGTTGGCTCAATAAAATTTAGTGATTATATATATTCTTAATATGGAGTACGATTCAAGTAAATACATGGAGCATTCTCTTTTGATATCCCTTTACAGGGCTATTTTGAATGAGCTAAGAACATATGCAATGGTGTACTCCACCATGGAGTCCTTAGGATTAGTTTAGTATTTTTTTTTTTTTGAATAGTTAAGGATTCGAATCAAAACAGGTCGTCCAATGGTGAATCCGACGATGGAGTTCTTAGAATTAAAAAAGAAAAATTTAAAATAATTTTATTTTGAAATTGAAATTGAAATTTTATTAATTGCATGATTAAAAACAAAGATACAATGATTAAATATAGAGATACACTAATTATTAATCTTCATCACTAAATTTGTTCCAAATATTTTCGATTAAATCGTTCATGCACACGCTTATCACGGAGATCATTCCGAGTGGGAAACATATTATTCAGATTTGTTGGCATCTCGGTTTCCACCTGTGAACTTCTAATGACGTTACCTTCTTCAAATTCTGAAATATCGTACCCTATGTATCCATCTCGTTCATTTTCAACTATCATATTGTGTAGTATGATACATGCTCTCATTATCTTCCCTATCTTTTCCTTTTCCAATGTTTTGACCGAGTTTCTCATAATCGCAAATCGAGCTTGCAATACTCCAAAAGCCCGCTCCACATCTTTTCTTGTTGCTTCTTGATGTTTAGCAAATAACTCTTGTTTAAGACATTGAGGGGAGTGTGATAGATTGGATAAATGTTGACCATTTTGGATATATACCGTCTGTGAGGTAATATGCCAACTTATACGTGTGTTCGTTGACCACGTACCTTACCTTTGGAGCTCGACCTTCTAAAATATCATCAAACACAGGAGACCGATCGAGGACATTGATATCATTTAAGGTACCGGGAAGACCAAAAAATGCATGCCATATCCAAAGATCTTGAGAAGCGACAGCCTCTAAAACAATTGTCGGTTTTCCTGATCCACGTGCATACTGTCCTTTCCAAGCAGTTGGGCAATTCTTCCACTCCCAATGCATACAGTCAATGTTCCGGACCATTCCAGGAAACCCGCATTTCTCTCCAATATCAAGTAGTCGTTGAAGATCATCTGCTGTGGGTCGTCGTAGATACTCATCTTCGAATAACTGGAATATCCCATCAGTGAACTTATGTAAACACACAAGTGCTGTGTTCGCACCAAGACGGTGATACTCGTCAACTGTGTCAGCAGCAGAACCATAAGCAAGCTGACGAATTGCTGCCGTACATTTTTGTAGTGAAGAAAGACCAAACCTCCCAGTAGCATCTCGTCTCTGTTGAAAGAACGGAACGTTCTCTGAGGCCATGGATAATACGCATGAATAAATCCTTATTCATGCGGAAACGTCGTGCTGAGAATGTCGACTCATCGCTGAAGTAGTCATTCCATAAACTGTGGTGTCCTGCTTCACGTTCTCGTTCAATATAAGCACGTCTATTTTGCTTACTTGTTTGAGCCTCCACTATGTCTAAATCGATGAAAAATACTCCTCGAGAGTTCGATTTACCTTCGTGGAGCCGATGGAGAGAAATCGCCATCGTATCGCCTTCTCCTCTCGAGAGCTTTTTTTTCCTTTCTATCGGGAAATGAATTGTTTTTTTACGAAGTAACCCGATTTCGACCGAACCGAAATGAGCGAGAGCACGCCACGTGTGCTAAGGATCAGCCTCTTAAATCTCTTCCCGACGGACCAATCCTTGCCAAAATTTGGAAAAAAATGATTATTATATTCTAATAATCCTAAGGATTAGTGCTAAGAGGTCTTCATGAACCTCCGTTGCACATGGTCTAATGAGTTTGCTATATCCCAAAAACTCTATTTGAATGCATGCAGTTCTTTTCAGTTTTACCACTTTTTCACTAAACCGTTGCTCGTTTTTCTTGTACCTTTTCAGATTTTTACATCGTCCTTTTCTCTTTGTCGTGGAATGCGGATGGATTGTACTTTGTAATAATATTGTTTGTATTTTTCCATCAACTATTCGTAGTAATACTATATAGTATAAAAGGAAAGGAAAATAAATTATTGAGTTTTATATCTTTATAGTCATGTATACTATTCCCGCCCACCCATTTTGGGATTTTGTATTATCCTTTCTAGCTTACGATCCGTCTATTCAAAATCATTACGCGGTATAAGTAATACCATGACTACATGTTTGTATCGTGCTTGACTTTACAAATAGTTGCTATAATTACTCTATAATTCATATATGCTTTTCGTTTAAGCTTTTATATAAAGTATTAGATTTTATACTCGCGCTACGCGCGAGTCTGTTTTAATAATTTAGTTTAATTAAAATAACTTAAAACCAAAATATTAATTGAGTAATATAATTTTCTTATTTAAATATAATCTTTAATTTAGTATTTATGTTTTCTTATAATTATGTTATCTTATTAGCTATTTAGTTATTTGTATTCGTAAATATAATAATTATGTTTCTAAACATATTCATATTTTTTGGAAATATTAATTTATATTTTAAAATATTAAATAGATTTCTCAATACATGTAAACTTTTAACACGTTATAATATTTTCATCATACATTTTTTATATCTTTTTTAAACAAAATAAAAGATTAAACTTCAGCATAATATATAATTTTGCTCTGTACTCA